CCCTCTGCACCCCCTCCCTTCTGCAACCCCCCCCCACCAACCACCATGAAAAGAGGAGACATATATGCTAATCTCCAGGAGAAATATATTTTTAATCTTGTTAGAAAACAATTTAATACTGAAGTTCAGTGACTAAACTTTATGAGAAAACAGTGACAATTCAACAATGCATGACTATTTTTGCTTTAATACTTTGTTTCAAAGCTGATGTTCAGTGTCAGAATATAATTATCTTTCTGCAGTAACAACATAACGGTGCTGTACCAGAAGCCTGGTGCATCTGGGACGTGACATCATGTTTCTAACCCAGAGCAGTGGGAGGGAACAGAAAGGTTTCTGAACATGGTGGCATGTTTACAAAAATATTGGCATATCAGCTTTATCTTATTTAACCAACTCCAAGCACCTTTAAACCACATTTAGACATCTCTATGGATGTTGTTTCACATTTCCTTTCACTTTTCACCCACAATGTCACATTAATTAGACAGAGGACAATGCCATTGTTTCAGTCTAGTTAACAAAAATTTACTTGAAGGCACGTTTCAGGGACATTGTAACTGGAAGTACAACAACTAATAGCTCTTTTTATGGTTAATGTGAAGAAAGGGACATTGAACTTTGCTCACCCTCAATGAATCTCTTAGTTGTGTAATAACTTTGGTAAACTTAGGTGAAAGTGAGCATCCAAATAAAACTGTTCTAAGGGTCTCATACATCCTTAGGCCTGCTTTAAAATGTTTGGTTTTCATCTAGGGCTGAAATGATTAATCATAATGAATCGATTATTGAAATAACCAGTTAACAATTAGTCCATTAACAATTGATCGTTAATGGGCTAATTGTTAACTGACTCAGTAAAAACTATTTGCTCAAAGAACAACATACTCAGTAATTAATCCAAAACTGTACAAAAACTGTTTACATTTTGTATTTAAAATAAAAAAAACCTCCGTTTGTCAATCTGCTCTACTAAATAAAACTCCTCAAGAGGTACCATAGTTTTAGCTTCACCTGGTTCACATTCTGTAAAATATAAAAACAATCTACTATTAAGCACCTTTGAAGAAAAGGTGACCAGATCAGCCCTGCTCTGTACTGATGTTCAGTCGAGCACAAAGACCTCAGCTTTTCATGTTAGAATGATTTTTAGCTGCAGATCCATCCTTTGCTACAAATGATCAAGCATTCACTAAAAAAATTATGTTACTGCACTTTTGGCAAGAAAGTTTTTATTTTCTTATATAAAAAAGGAATTGACTTATTTCTTTATTAATGTATTTCTAATATTGTGAAAATAAGCTTAAGTGGTTTAATGAAAAATCTGTGGAAGGTGCCATTTTTTTATCTGATTAATTGATAAATTGTCAGAATAATTGATAGAACAATCAATAACTAAAATAATTTTTTGCTCTGGAAAGAATTTGTCCTGAGTTCACAACTTCTTTAGAGTATGAATGGAGCAACTAACCAGTGACCCATATGCTTCCACAAGATTGTTGTCCAACTAATAACATGACCCAACTTTGAAACACAATGAGCTTTTCTAAACACTCAGAAGGTAAAATAAATGTCTAATTTTGAAATAAAAAATTCAAATCTGCTCCTCCATCATCTTAATAAAAATCATAATACAAATATACAGTGAAAAGGGAGCAGTAATGATAAGCATTCTCCTCACATGGCAGATTTTTTTAATGGACCAATCTTTAAAATGTCTTGAAAGGTTCGTTTCCACTTTTGTTCCGGAACATTTCATCCAGTCTGACTGTTTTTTCCAATGTGGGATCTGAAAGATGAGCCAAGTATGTAGATGACAGTCCCTGAATCAGAGTGTGTTCTTCTCCACTGCACTGCGCCGCTTTTGTCTGGGGAAACCGATCTCCACCCACAGCAACAGAGGAGTCCAGAATGAGATGAAAAAACAGTGAAGTCAGTCTAATGCTGGGGATATTTAGAGAAATTCTTATCCATCCAAAAATCCCCCCTCCCTGTAACTTGACAATTTATGTTGTAGATCTCCAACTACTTTTGTGAAATGAGAAAAATCTAGAAGTCCACTCTTGTTCCTGAAAAGGTTCCCACAGTGGAAACAGCTTTAAATATACAGAACTATGTGCACAAGTAGAGACAAAATGGAAACAAATAGTGTGTTCTCTCAAAATTTTATATTTTATTTGTTTACAAAAGTTAATTGGTACAATGATTTTCAGAGTTTCAAAATGATCTTTGAAAAAGTTGTTCACTCCAAGACCAAGGCAGAAGTGATTTCAATCACTACAGCTCATCATTTGGCTGACTGTCATCTTTACAGTAATCTGCAGGAAAAGAGGGAAAAAGAAACACCTGTCAGTTTTCTGCCATAAGTAGTACATGTAGGCCAAAAATATAATTATAATTTGCCTTTTGGATAGAATCTGCCACAAGAGCTGAAGAGGTCTGCAGCTCCTCCTCAGGAGGCTCTCATGGTTATTACTCAGATTAATATTGCTCCTTGCATATATGTCAGTTTAGATTAACAGCTACTTTACGTTATGGTACACTCATCTTATAGAACATATTCCCAATAAGTTAATTTTTAAACAGTTTTTTAAGCTGGTTTATATTTGTACTTTTTTTTAACTCCTCATTCAATCCATTCCAGACATTTACTCCACACACCAATAAACAAAAACTCTTCTTGGTTGTTCGAATACATTGTTTTTTCAAATGTCCTCCTCTTAAATTATAACCCCCCTCTCTGTCACAAAACATTTTCTGTATATTGTGTGGAAGTTGATGATTTATTACTTTAAACATGAATTGTACAGTTATAAATATTACAAGGTCCTAGAATTTCAGTATATTTGATTTAAAAAATAACAGGTTTGTGTTCCCAATATCCCACTTTATGTATTCGGATAAATTTTTTTTGTATGACGTATTACAGCTATAAATTTGTTTTGTATGTATTCCCCCAAACTTCCACACAATATGTTAAATGTGGTACAATGAGTGTGTTATAGAAAATAAACAAAGATTTGTAGTCCAGGACAAATCTAATTCCCCTCATAGCAGCAACACTTTTGGCTATTTTAGATTTTACTAGGCTGATCTGTGGTTTCCAGATAAATTTATTATCTAGTATGACACCCAAAAATTTGATTTCATGGACTTCTTGTAAATCAACACTGTCAACAGTTATTTTAATTGCATTTTCTTGTTGTTGTTTTTTTGTTGTTGTTTTTTTACAGTTTCTGAATATCAGGAATTTAGTTTTACCTAAATTTAGTGATAATTTGTTGTTTGTGACAATGTTGTATTTTATTCATTTCTGTATTGAGTTCCTCTGAGAGTTGTTGAAGGTTTTCTCCAGTACAGAACATACTTGTATCATCTGCAAATATAATATAATTTATAAGGTTTGATACTTTCACTATGTCATTTATATATAAATTGAATAATTTGGGTCCCAACACTAATCCCTGCGGACAGGGGCGCTGCCAGGAATCTTGGGCCCCCTGAAAAAAAATTAAATTGGGCTCCCTCCCCCCACGCAGCTGCTGTTAAAATTTCTTGAGTCTATCTGACCCATCAAAAGTGTCACAATTTCAAAGGCTTGCAACTGCCTTGCTTTCTTTGGTCCAATATTGATAACTAGTACTATATTTGCTGCTCATGAATTTTACATGCAAGAGTAAAATTCAGTATGCATACAGTATGCAAATAGGTTGCTTAAATTTTTTCTATTAGTTTTAGATACTGAAATGTCTCTCCATGAGCAACAGTCATAGGCAAGATGCAAAATATACATGAAGCAATCCAGACTTCTCAAAAACTGCTATGTAGTTGCATTTTATTCAAGCTGCAGTATAACTTTAATAAAAA